GTTCCTTATATAGTCTCAGTCAGAGTGAACCGTACAATGTACGACTTAGTGATAGAGAGAGAAAAAAATTTGGAACGCTTCACGAATTTGCGTATCATCCTGAATAGTTAAGAAATTGATTGCAAGCAATCAATACTCTCTCGTAAAGATTCCTGATGTTTCAGAAGTAATGTTTGGCGAGACTTGTATCGAAAAGCAAAGAAAAGAAGAGATGAGATAGTGTAAATAACGGGAATATAAAGTTAAAAGCGGTAGAATCCTCAGAAGAAGTTCTTTCTCATTTTTGAATTAAGTCGCGACTACACCCTTTCCGAAGTAATAAATTTTTATTTTTTTATTCTCCAGTTTTTTGTTTTCATGATCTATGAATATTCAAATATATATAGTTGTATATCATAGTGGTTTTCGATGATTATCCGTAACCCTGTTATACTGTTTATCACATGCTCTAATGAGAAAATCCTTAGAGTCCTATTTCTTATGATCAAACGCAAAAGAATGTTACTTCGAGCAAACATTGCGAGTAATTGACCACAGACCAGTTTCGTTTTGTTCTTTTACAGTTTTTATTATATTTTCGTTTGATTGTATTTATACAATAAAATGATTATTCCTAATTGTACCAGCTTGTAATTTATTCATATGAAACCATCATGTTTGTTTATCCCTAATTATGCCTAAACTAATATGGCTTCGTATCTCACGAGTCTTTCATAAGCTTCGTTCTCTCCAACTTTGAAATTAAAAATGTTTCTTTAGTGAGGAGAAAATAAGCTTACGTGAAGTTCATTCACTTCAGTTAGAGTTGTCTAATTATCATCCGAGGCTTGACTGTTCTACATGAGACTCGATGTAAAAATGATTTTCTTTCCGTTTCAAGTGGGTACTTGACTAGAAGCTGTTGTTTCATCCTATGAAATGGTCATTGTCCATTTGGTTCAAACAACTGTAATGAATACAATGCATACGCTTTCCTCTCAAATTTTCTTTTGTATGTCAAGCCGCATTTTCGAGATACTTTTTTTACCACCAGCGCGATCAGTCTTTATATTGTTTCAGAATGACAGCTCGCAGCTATAGTCCGCACGGTATACTTGATCCGAACCCTGATTATCAAATTTGTTTTGGGCTCTACCATGCCACTGTAATGTTTATTTCTCAATATCTTATATTCAATGATAATGTTCAGACTGCAGCTAAATTTTTTGCATCTTACTTTTTTGTTCTTTGTCTGCTGATATCCGGCATTAACTTTCTGGCCTTTGGTTTCAAGCATATCGGGTTAGCAACTTATTAAGAATTTACTTATCGCAGGTATATTCAGGATAAGCATATTCTGTATAGTTTTTACTGTATATTCTCTTGTTGTCATTTATGGCGTTTTTTTGGAGAAAAAAGTTTTCTTGTTGCCGTTTTTAATAATCCAGGTAATCGAGAGTGTTGTTTCCGCGATCAAACTCTAAAACCTTGTTGTCTTATAGGGCTTTCTCGCTACAGCTCTTTTCATTATCACTACTTGCTTTGCTCTATTTGGCGCATTCACCAATGTAATTTATAATCATCATCGAGATAGTAAACCACTACGCTCCCTATATGGCATGCACAATTTGGATCCCGACAATGAGACAAGTCCTTTTTTTTGTAATATTTTTGTTATTATTTTGCTTATCATTTGCAGCTCAAGCTATGGTCTCGTCAACAGTTCTTTTCTTTCTTGTTTTTCAAGTTGTTCTCTTCTCATACTCGTGGTGGGTAATGCTGAAGACATATAAATGTTATAAAGAGAACGATCGAACGATATGTCCGGGATATCAAAAAGGAATCGTCGCATCAACAAGCCATGAAGATATTTAAAAGAAAACGAAGTCGCTTTAAAAGATATAAGTAATAAAAGATTGTGATTATTGTTAAGATGTTGTGCCAGGGAAAGAAAAAATAAGAAAAAAGATAAAATTTGAACTTTGATTTCCAAAAGAGAATTGCTACACAGAAGATTGAGCTGAGTAAGAATAACATAAAGTAATGAGAAAAAAAAAGTTCATTTCATTTATATATCAGTGAGATGATTAGAACAAAAGATGATTCAGATTCATAATGATTCTGATGTAATATGCAGCAAGCTTAAACATATGACCTTTCAGTTGATAAATTGAATTATAAATTAAAATAGATTATTTCATGATATAGTGACTGTTGTAGCTTTTGATAATCGTTATCATATAAGGTTTTTCGTGTAAAAAATTGATATTAAAATGTAAAAAAAATAAGGAAATGAAGTTTATGAAATGATTGAACATGTGGTATCAAGCACTAGAAAGCTTTATCTATTTTGCTAGACAATGAATGAAAGATGAAAAACGATGATTTTGTAAAATAATCAGACAAGTGGCAGCAATAATTGAAAAGTTGCTAATCCATTTGTGACATTTGTGATAACAAAATGTTTGATTCAAGTATTTCATATCTGGAAAAACGAGGAATGTTCAATTAGTTCTACAGATAACTAAATAATAATTTACAACACATTTTTCTATATAGCTGCAAATAAAGATGTATCTATGAATCATCTATTAACCATCAATAGTTCACGATTCATCTACTCTTATAGTCTTTTTCTCTCTCTCTCTCTATCTATCTCTCTCTCTCTCTCTCTCTCTATCTATCTATATCTATCTCACATACATATACATTCTTTCACTCTTATTCTTCACGCAAAACTATACATAGCTCAATGATAGATAAGAGAACGTTGTGAACTATCTAATTATCATTTTTGTGATGAATAAACATTGACAATTTAATTTTAAATTGAAATATGCATGTTCATTCTTTCTTTTGTAAAAGCAATTGACTATCTAGAAGCTTGTCAATCATTCATATCCTTAACTTTTGATTCTAACTTCCATATCAAATTGTTCTATCCATTTGTACTCATGTACTTTCGTGGGTGCATCCCCCTCCCCCCTTATCCATCCTCCTTACTCCACCCCCCTCACCATCTTACCTATTCCTAACGTAATTATAGTTAATCGTTCAAACTACAATTTATTTTTTATTATTATCCTTTTCCTTCTTTTTTTTCTGTTCGATTGTTTGTCTGTACATTTTTCCTTATTGTTCATTTCTTTCTGACATAAAAAATTTGCCAAATAATACAATTTTGTTATCGTTCCGTATCGCATGCCGGACCTGTCTGCGCGATGAACGTACGACGAAAAGCTCATAGCTTCTCTTCTCAATTACCCCACCGTAAATGGCTATCATTCACCTATTCAGTCATAGATCGTACGTGTATTCAAATCTTCAGATAAGAAAAATTAAAGACATCAGTCCTCTTAAGCTTCCATTCTCGACACACTCATTCTTAATCGTCTTCTCTTTCCTCTTTTTGTTTTGTTGTTAAGTTATTACTTTGCCTTTTCATCTTTCTTTCCTTTCACATGCTCTGAAACAATAAAAGAGGATGATTATGAAAAAGTCAATTTAACTACACGTTGCCCATGGTAATACGCTCATATACTCCATTGTAACCAAGAAACATGCAGCGAAGAAGCCTTAATGCAAACATGAACATGAGGCTTAAGCCCACAGCTTTTTTCGCTCATCTAATTGGTATCTATGCGAGCAGTCGAGAGTATTTAGAATGAAGTTTTCTGTTTTAACACCTTTTTTTTTCCAATTCCAATATGATTTTATGAACAGTGAGAATCATTGATTTAAAACGATCAACGATAAGACTTTTGTCGACTATCGACTACTTCTTCAGCAATCTACCCTTAAACAGCTCATTCCTCTCTATGACACGTTTACAACATTTTTTCAGCTTTTCTACTGCATTTTGTAAATAACTTTAAGCTTTACAAACACGGTGACGTTACTTGCGTTGTTCACCATGGTAGCCAAAGTTAGTTAACGGCATTTTTCTTTATCTTTTTTGATATTTCTCCCTTTGAACAACTTGAAAATCCATTCACACGGTAGATAGATAGAGAGAGAGGGAGAGAGAGCAAAAAAAACAAGAAAGAGACTGCGAGGAAATGAGGTAGAAAGAACAGTCACGTTGTCGTTGATGTTGTTACTGTGTTTGTTGAGCAAAATCAAGAGAAGCGACAATTCAGACGACATGTTGCGCCGAAACATAGTCAACCCTCTGCAGTTCCGCTAGAAGTCAGAGATAGAGTCTAACAAGAAATCAAAGAGAGTGAGGAAAAGAGAGCACAATCAATAAGAGAGATCGAAGTAAAGAGTGGAATAGAGAGGTAACGATGTGAAGGTTCTCGATCTCTGAATCTCCATCTCGAACTCAATAAAACAATGTGCTCCACCATGATTTTTGATCGAAAATAGAACAATTGAAAGCTGTCCTTTGATGTTCTCATCTTCCAAATTCCTGATTATCACTTATGCAACGTCTACTTCCTTCTTATTGTGTGTGCGGTAAACCCTATTCTTCAATAATATTTGATCTTGGAAATCAATTTTTACTTTCTAGTTCGATCATTATTTGAGTAAGATTCCAAAAAAACGTTTTTAACTTTCTGATTCTGCTCAAGTCAGGTGAGCTAGTTCTGCTTGCAGTGAGGTTCATAAGACGTATGAGCCATATGACTAACTTTTGTTTTCAAAACCAAACAGTATAGCCAGCTTCTCGTGAGTAATGAATACATCTCTGCCTTTTCTATTGAGTCATACCAGATAGCTTCACACTGTTATTACAGTTTTACACTTATTACGAATCTTCTCATACGTCTTTTATATTATTTGATTAACGCAAAAATAGGATGAAAGCTGTTTTATTAGCTGAAATCGTATTGTTGCTCTCTTGTCTGAGATGCAGAGGAGGAATGTATCGAAGCATTCAGTCAATAGTTGTCCTTCAGAAGAAACATACCGAAGTCATGATTCCTCATATTCTACAGCCGACAAGTAGAATAAGGGCAACCAGAGAGATTGAGTGTAGAGAAAAAGATAGAGAAAGCATGAATATAGAAGAGTAAACGAGAAAAACAAATTGAGAGAGGGAGAAGAAAGGGAGAAAGCTAGCTTCTCACGCATGCGCCTGTAAATAGGCGGCGCAAAGAAAAATCATGAACATTTACCTTGGTAATCCTCCGCATGATTCATAATCATCAGTTATTTTCTTAAATTTTCTTCCTTGTACTCAGTCAATACTCGTCTAAATTCTTTTTTTTCTTCTTCATCTCTCATATTTCTCTTTAAACTCTCTGTGCTCTTTCATTATTTTTCATCTTTCGTTGTGCTTTTGCGAACTATAACGAGCACGACAAGCACGAGGACCAGCCACAGACTGTGTTGAGTGGCCTTTGCTTTTTTTTATTTTCTTTCAAATATCGTCATATGCTCTCTGTCAGCTTTTGTGCCATTTCCTTCTTTTGAAAAAAAAAGTCATTTTTTCACTTTCTCTCGCGTCTACACGATCATTCCCACTTCCACCTCCTACAACTTCCGTGAGAACCGTTTTGGAACAGAATGAGCTTTCCATGCTGCCTTTTATCAAGAATGGATATAGAAGAATCCTGTTCAAGACCAATTCTTCTAGTCTCTCTTCTGTTCATATCGAAGCTAATTAAGTGTTGATAAGAAAAAATGTAAAGACCAATTATAATCGTGGTTTTACAAGTTCATTTCATTGTGATGAATCATAATGGGATGAAGAACCACATCATTTGATGAAAAAATTATTTTCCTTATCCTGCCTACAACCAGATACAAACCTCATTTCATCTTCAAAAAAAGGTTTTTTGACTTTCAAAAAAAATTGGTAGAAAAGGGGGAGGAATTATCATATCACTTTATCAAACAGTTTCTATCACAATTTGATTACGTTGAGATGATTATCTACAGAAACTTCAACTCTTCAAATTTCATTTTTATGTTTTTAATGACACATTCTTCTCTCTCAAAAAAAAAGCTTCTCCATCTTTTGCTTTCTTGCTTTGTATATTCTGCAAACTCAAGCACATCCATTGAAATTCCATGCTTTACAGTCAGCCTTCATTTCATTGAAAGCTGCCTCCTCTCCAAGATATAAATGATATAATAAAGTATCATAGGTCAAATTCCTCAAAGAAAAGTCTTTCTTCCTTCTTCAAAATGATTCATGTCTTCAATGTTGTAATGATAACCGTATTTTAAGTTAATCATATCATATAATTCTCCTAAATCAGTTAGCGATTTGACGTCACATCACTCTTGATCGAGATAAAAATAAAGAACATTTAAAAGTGAAAATTTTTATAAAATTGCATGTTCTCTCAACAACTGCTTGATTTTAATTTATTAAATATGTCAAATATGTATATCCATTTATATATAACTGCTTACGTTTATATCTCAATCCATCTATATATATATCTAACTATGTCTACATCTTATCCATATACTATGCTTTTTTTCTTTATTCATTCAAATTTTACTTCTTCCAGATTCAGGGTAGTAAATGATTCCGAGGCGGATTATCCTGCCTATTTTATTTTTTTTATGTCTTCCAACAACGGTATTTTGCTTAAAAAAAGCCTTCATATCAATATTATCATCTGATGATTTTTTAACTCCAGCCAAAGTTGTTGGTACGTATATCTATTTATTTATATAATTATGCGATATTTAATTATTTCAGCATTTCGTCTTAGAACAATTAATCCTGAAATCCCATTTGTCATACTAGCTACTGAAGATGTATCTAATGATACTATTGATGTATTACAATCACGTGATGTTAATGTTCTTCAAATTCACAAAATAGATACTCCATTTCTTGATACTCATGTTGGAGCAAAATTTCAGGTTTGTTCTATATATATATAATTGTTTTTTATTTATTAATTAATCTCATTTCAGTATACTAAAATACGCTTATGGTCTTTAACCGAATTTGATGTTCTTTTTCATATTGATTTGGATACTCTACCTATATCTGATCTCGCACCTGTTTTTCAATGTGGCGCATTCTGTGCTACATTTAGGCATTCCGACAAATTCAATGCTGGAATATTTGTTTTGAAGCCAAACATATCCGTACGTTTTGCACATTATATCTCCATAAATAACAATTGTATTCAATATATGTTCGTAGTATCAGTTAAGAGAGATAATAAAAGAGGGAAAACGCTAATATAGAACGTTCGATCAAAAAATTGCCATTACATAGTGCGATATGCAATAAGGGCACAGAGAGAAAGGTTTCATGTTTATAATGAGATTTCTAATTTGACGTACATTTGCATACGTGGAGAAAAAAAAATTTTTTCTATGTGCACTCACGTCACGTTGCTCTTCCGCCTACACCCATTTGACGTAATGTTGACGTATATCGCGGTTGAATTATTTCTTAAACCTGCCGTTTCGCACTCAGGTCATGCCCAACTTTTTTTCTGGAGAAAAGAAAGCTATAAAAATGTTGATTTTCTGGTTCTTTTTTTTTGCGATCATTTCAATAGCTTTTCTCGAGATATTTGCTTTATTTCGAGCCAAAAAAAACGTGTTAAATATATTTGAAGAACATAATTTGTATGCGAAGCTGCTAAATCTATGTTTTCAGGTTTACTTGGACTTATTGGAAAAAGTTTCACGGTTAGATTCATATGATGGTGGAGATCAAGGTTTCTTCAATGCATACTTTGATGAACTCAAGTATGCACCCATGTTTAATGATAAGACACCAAGTGATCAGAAATATACATCAGATATTATGAGGTGATAACAATCATCGTACCAAAATGACGAATAGTTCAGGATATCTGCTGCTTACAACTATGATATCGGGATGTATTACTTGAATGGAGGACATACACTTGTTGAACCCAAAATCATTCATTACACCCTGGGGCCAACAAAACCTTGGGCTTGGTGGACATATCCTGTATTCGAACTAAATCAACTTTGGAATACTGCAAGGTGCGTCAGATATTTCATGAATCTATTCTCATGTTTGAATGATGTTTAGAATTGAGATGGAAAAAACGTATGAAGAAAGAAATTATAACAAGTATCTATTACTACTTGGTATTGTGGTGGCAGCCACCATGTTCGCGTTGCGAGAAGTGAGTTCAGAACAGAGTTATCCTTCGAATTCAAACCAATTTCAGTTCACCATTTTCGTATCAGGATTAGTTATCCGCAAAGAGAAGATAACATCAATAGAATGTCAATTTTTGCCTTACGTTCTCACATTTTTATCAGTATTATCAGCATTCGTAATAACCCCTGCGTTTGCTCATCCAGTGCCATCGTGGTTCTTTTTCTCGTTTTGCACGGTATGCTTTAAAGATACTAAGCGTAAAGATTTTATCTAAATTTTTAAGGTGACTCTCAGTTTTTTGTTGTCCGATGTTTATAAAACAATACGACTAGGACGAACGACAGGCCTTATGCAAATATTATCATGTATGGCGTTTAGTTTATCTTTAATTGGAAGTACATGGATTTTGCTTGCTTGGGTGCCGACGTTTGGCGTACGAGCATGCATGACAATCCCTTTAGTTATAGCGAATTTCATGTTTTTATCTTATCTTATTCGGTGTGTTATATTGAGTAACATATTGATGAATCACTGCTCAAAATATCAAATGATCCTCGTTACAAAAGATTGTGTTCAGTAATTATGAAAGTCATAGTCTGCTTGAGCCCCTTCCCTTTTTTTTAATTTCGAGTCGCCGAACACGTGTTACCTGCCTTTCAATTGTCATTAATACGCTTATTCTGCGGTAAGCTATTATGTCAGTGTTTTCATCGTTTTGGATGTTCAGTTATTTTATTTTATTAACCTCTCTCTAGTGGAGAGGTTATCACATCGACAGATCGATCTCATCAAATATCAATTGACACATTGTATATGTTTTGAACTTATTCGTCATTTCCTTTTACCTTCTTTGTATTTATTCGCACCCGCTTCTCTCTCTCTCCCTCTTTCTCTCTTTCATTGTTCCTCCTTCCGCCTTCTAAGAGAAAATAATATTTCTATTGGTGTATCTGTAAATTTAAGTTTTGCTTAGAGCTTATAAATTTATTGAACATATCTTTGAATTTGACCTTGATAGAGACTAACAAGGAAAGCAACGGATGAAACTAACTAAATGTTCAATGGCCAACGAATTATTCCTTTTTTTGTTCACTCTTAGTTTATTTAGCTGATTTGACATTTGATTTGTCGAGATGTCATTTCATCACGACGGAACGAAATGGCTTCTCCCTATCGAAACTCAGTCATAAAGCATTCAAAATTCAACTCTTTTCTTATTCACTATCTATTCTTCACGTAACTTTGTTTTGATTCATTCTATTATATCTCAGCTCCTCAGTTGCGTTCGCTAAGTTTTAGAAATAAGTCAAAACTTCTAGCATAATCAAATGTAGACATCATCATTGCAACATTGTAAGAAAACCAATTGAAACTACTAACTTAGGGCATGAGCGGAAGAGAAATCAAAAGCAACTAAAAGTACTTTCAAGGCAGTCTCATTATTATTGAAAATCACAGTTGGATATCTACAACTCCCCTTGTGGAAACGTGCTTGAACATTCATTAAGTCACTCCTTACTCTGGCCAATCGAATCATCAGCTCTTCCTGTTCTTGAATTTCTTCCATCCACTGGTCAACAGCTTGTCTCACCACAAGGCAACAGTCTGTCCTTTAAATTTTCTCCTCGTTGTCATTCATTGCTTTTTTCGTCCCAAACAGACAATAAACGTTTGCAAGGAGTTTCAGAGAAAACTTCGGAAAAAAATATTTAAAAAAAAAGTCCGTAGACGAGCGGTATTCACAAAAAAACTGTTCTTCCCTTGTTCTCACATGTTTGCTACTCTTGCCATACAAGCTGTTGTTCAGGAAAGATTCAACGAAAAAAAATGCTGTCTTTCTGGTGCTGAGTAGCAGTTCTTCCATATTTTTCATTTTGAGTTGAGCGGACGTTGAGAGTGGTTGTCTTTCTTCATTCTTGCCCTCATTTCTTCTTTCTTTATCTTAATTTCGATGATTTCATTGATCTAACTCAGCTATTGAGGAGATTGATTGAAAAACAGAGAGATTAGGCTCTACACTTTCAGTTTAGAAATGATAGAGAAACAAAGAGAGGACTGTCTTCGAAACCAGATCAGAGAGCCGGGTCATCGGCGTCCACATGCTCATCTCTTTCGTCGTTTTTAGAAATCGTCATCACAAAATCTTCTAATCGGCTGTTATTGCAATTCTCAAAGCAGGTCTCAGTGTCCATTTCTTCATGTGTATGCTAGTTGCATCTTTCTAAAGCTGTTCCTGAAGCTAATGAAATAAAGAAGAAATATGTGAAGGAGGAGAGAAAGAGGACGTCTTAGAGTTTGGTAAGAAGTGGTGGATAAGTGTCACAGCCTTCTCCAACATATTCATCATATATCATTAGTTCATTCATCATAATCACTCATTATATGCTTTAATATATTCTCATTTATTCCTTTTGAAGAAACTATGTCAGTAATTTTTCTGTTCATTTTTTTCGACTATATATCAAGGTGCTAAACGGTAGCGAAAACCAGAGAAAAGTAATTTTCAACACTAGCCATGTTCGACACGTTTGTTTAGCGCAACCAAAATGCGCTGACATTTCCGACAACTTTGACTTTCTTCAAAACTGTCCCGTTTCATCATCCAGACAGTCTTTTATCTATTTTCACTTCTTTTACTGTCATTCGTCTCTAGTAGCCTGATTTTATAATTTAAATAAAACTCGTTCATAAGTTTCTTTCGCAGTAACGAAAGATCTAAGTTTTGCCTTTCAACATGATGTTATGATGACGTTCCTATTGCTGTCGTTCAAAAGATGAAACAATAAACTTGACTCTGCGGGTCAGCTTAGTCACTTGTCTTTTCAGCAAGCCGTTATCGCCTCTCAGTTTTCTAAGTCTCTAAAAGCTGAGTGTATGTCTCATTTCTTTGCTATTTCCTTCTCCTCAAACACTGTTATATTTTTCTTCTTACTCAGCGCGTTCAGGTCAGACTGATCGCCTTCGTCCTCTGTTATTTTGCTATTGAACGATTAGCACGCTTTGAAGGAAGCCAGTAGTTTAGGGTAGTATTAGGCGTGGCTTGGACGCCTGCCAAATTAGCTGACCCCTAGCCTTTCTCTCTTTCTCTCTGTCTTCGATTCTCTGCATTAGAACGCCCTTGAAACGAATATCACGAAAGAGCAAACGATTCTGGAGGAAACAAAGAGAGAACAATAAACATGAGCAACTCACATTTGATAAGCTTTTAAAGGACTTCTATATTGCTTTTTTCCAACTTCTTTTTCTTCAATCGGACTTTTTCTTTTTTTCCAACCATAAATTTCTTTATTTAATTAAGTTTCCGTCAATGCACACATTCCTTGTTTGAATGACCTAAATAGCTGATATTAGAATTGAAATTATATTTTTAACTTCTGTACAACAACCGCTTCACGCGTCCTAAAATTTGAAAATGATTTATTATTCGAGCATGTGTTCGTGAACTGTTTTTCACGCCATATGTAAATGAGTCATATGCTAATGAAGCTATTGGGAATATTCGATTAACATTACTTACTTGATATATTTAATTTCTATTTGCTGTTCTCATATAAACATGCTTTGATGTAGCATTTTAATAACTTCGGTTTCTTTAAGACAAGTGCTGAAAGCCCTCGGGTCTTTCCCGGAGAGCTACGATGCCTGCCATCGGCAGTCTGCCTGTAGCTTCTGAAGCCATAAGTATATTTGATCCTGCAAGTATTGTGCTTACACTAGCTTCTGTTGTCTGTATGATCACCGTTTTGAGTATGTGCACCTGCTGTCATCGCAAGGTTAAGAACAGGTGTGTTTGGTTTACTGAATTACAAATTTGATAACATGTTCGCTCTCTTCCATTTATGAAATATAAACTTTTTCTCCATAGCGGAAAGAGACGGAAATGTCAGCTAAGAGTGTAGATGATCTGCTATTTTGAGTGTTTTGTTTTCTTTCAGAGATCCCGACGACGTTTACGGTGTTGTAAATCCTGCCGCAGTGACTATATCGTCGGGAGAAGGACCAGCATCCCATTCTGTTCACTTCCGAACTCAATCGGTATCTCAAACAATAACAGAACGACACTCACAACCAGCAGGGAAGGTTAGATGATGATATCGATTGTTTTTAATTGAATCATTCGAAATTTAGACGAATACGAGTAACTTCAATGCTTCTCGTGTTTCTGCTCCAGGAAGAGCGTTGCCTCAACTGCCTGGGGATTTATATGCAGGTTCATACCTCCTATGAAAAAAAAACATATATTTGTTAAGCTATTGACAAAACCAGGAAGGATGATATACGATTTGTAGACGAAATTGTTAATCCAACATACGAATCAATTGATCCTGATGCTGACAGCATTATTGATCCGCTGTATTCGAAGGTATCCTTTGTAAACTCTGTTCATAGATCATGTCATGGTTTCTTACAGGTTGGTGAACCTCGAGTTGCAAAACGTGAGAGGAGATATGATTATCCTGTTTTTTCTGGTAGAAAAGCTGAAACCGGCCTCCCAACTCAAAACTCTGGCGAAGTTAGTTTTTAACAGGAAAATCTTAAACAAAGCTATTTCTATAGATGCTATATCAAAGTGCTTCTCAAATCTATGGACCAGGGAGTGAAGATCCTTACAGGTACTGTCCAAGGGTTTCGATATCTGCGAGAGCCAAACGACTAAACAACGGAAGACTATTTGAGCAACCTCTATCAGCAAGAAAGCTTGTTCGTTTCCAAGTGAAACCAGAGATTTTCAACCCCTCTTTGCGAAAAACTCGGTGTCGATGGTAATTTTGAATAGTACTGCCGAAACGCAAGTGTGCTGCCGTAGTTTTGCCGTGTCTTAGTTTTTTTTCACATGAAAAGACGAGCCTTAATCTTATAATAATTTTCTTTTTAGCAGTATCACTTCTGACTCCCGAATGATTTCAAATTCCGTAGATGGAGATACGAGCAGTGCCTATGATCCCGGCTACGCTAAGGTATTCGATATTTTCAACTTATCTTGATATGATACCTTAGGTGCATACAAACGGCTTGGATGCTAAACGGCTAGAACGGACGGAACGCGAACTAGATCAGCTGTATTCCAAGGTTTTTTTGACTTATAACCGATAACATCAAAATTCCTTCATAGATACGACGGAACAGCGGGGATAGAAGTGCCTCTTCTCCTGTTCCAGGTCCTTCGTCGTTGAATATACCAGAAGCAGCTTCCAGTGAGCCATTAGTTGAAGTTTCCCACCCACAGGTAAATTGTTATACGAATTCTTCATTCATTTTCGTTAAGGTCGATACACAGTCGGTAACTTCAAGAGAGCCTTCTTATCGATATATTACTGTTCGTGAGAACGCCGATGTAAGACTCTTCGTTCTATATATTTTTATTTTTTTTAAAGGTTGTGAGAGAGCGGCTTAGACAACAAGGAGGGCTTGGACCTCCGGTTCGTGAACATTACTATTCAACAATTGGAAATGAGTATGAGACTGTAAGTTGTTCAAATATATCCCGTCTACATATTCAGTTTTCAGGTCGGTGATGGTAATAGCAGTAGTAGTTATTCTCAACTGAACAGTGTCCCTAATCAAGCTCTATCGAACTCGCTAATTGATCAGGAGCATACATCCCGTATTGCTGCATCAGACTCTAATGTTTATAACGATTTATCAGTTTCTGTGACAAATCGGGAATTAGTTCCTCATCCTCCCACCTCTCCAATTCCTGATAGAAATAGTGTGAAATCCAACGAAGTTTTCGGTTCTTCTTCAAATGAAACATTCCTTGGAGTGACTACTACGTCTTCTCTTCGGTTAACGCCGCCAGTCACATCCACGGTCTCAAACACACAGAATGGGTTTCGGGTGAATGATGGCTTGGAAAGAACTGAGGAAGCTAATGGAGCTACCTATACTCTTGTTACTAAACCAGTGAGGAATGGAAATGAGAAAGCAACTGCAAGCAGATCTTTTACGACAACCTTTGATGCTGCTCCAGTAATGGGACCTGGAAATGAGACATCAGGTTAGATCTCTTATTTTAACAATCTGAAGTCCTCTTTTAGGGTCAGTCACTAGTTTTGGAAGTTGGAACGCTCCTTCTCTTAGCACCGCGACTTCGTTCGCTGGACTGCAACGGTTAGTACTCTCATATGCATAATGACTTATTCTACTATTCAGACCCTACTCCAGCTCGAATACAATAACCACAAATTTGATTGCTCCCGCACAAGATCGGCGGTCGGCCTCTCCTCTCGCCACGGTTCAGGGAATCCAGGAGTTCATGCAAAAACCAACACTACCTTACAATGAAGATACGATAATCGGTCGAAAAATAACAGAGGAGAGAGAAACTATTATTGAAAATCGAATCAGTACAACTACAAGGTTATTTATTCATATGAACTAGAACTTATCAGCATATTACAGCCAAGCGCCTGATAATCCGTTTCCTTCAGAAGTTTTGAGTCGCAGTTTTGAATCGAGTAATATACACACATTTTGAAGTTTGAAATAATATTTAATATTTAGCGTTTCTGAACGATAGAGCACCAGCCACTGAACGGGTATACCATGTTGAGATCAAAAAAATCGATGGGCCCAGCGCCAATGATATCATATCCGGTCAGTGATTTTCTTTTTTAGTTTTAGTCATTCATAACTGTTTAGCTCGAAGGATACGTAGTTCCAGTCAGTCAAATGTTTCCACCTACCCGTCCCTCGATTCTAGTCGTAACGCTCTTCATCCATTAAACCTTTCCTCTCAAGTTAGTTTTGATTTTCGGTTTCTTCCCACTGTTACAGCTCTTGCTGAAAAAATTGTCTCAGCTGTTCTGTTATAATCTCTCGCTTGTCATTCCCGTCTTGAAACTAACATCATTGACATCTTGCCTTCCGCGGGAATTGAACCCCCAACTGATTGTTGGAACGGCGCCTACACGCAATCAACATTTATCTTGCAGAATTCACAACCTGGTCCCTCATCTCCTTTCAATAACGCTGACACAACAGTTCTGATTCCAAAACAGGTACAAACATCATTACCATTGACCGAAGAGCAAGGTTTGTTTTTATGAATCTCTTCTTGTTTACATAGTATTCTTAGATGGGGCTTATCCTCCTAGTACGGCTCGTAGTCGAAGTAGTACTAGGTCAGCGCTGCCGGTACCTATGAACGGAGAGGAAGTTAAAAGATTAGCTGATCGTTCGAGACAAAGACGACAAGAAAGCATTGAAAGGGAAGAATTGGAGAAAAAGTAAGCTCGATTGAACATTCTGCTCTTAGTGATCTATTATCTCTAGAGCAAACCAACAACCAAGTGGAAGAGGCTTAGAGAGAAGTTCGGAACGAAAAAAACCTTGGAAAGTTGAGACCGAAGGTTGTTATATCTCTTGAGCCAATAACTATGAATCCTGTTTCAGAAGAAAAAAAGCAACGGTTAGGAACAATCTATACAGCCAATGACTACGTGAGCACGATTGATATGGGGACGGCTCGCCCGTGGCCCATGATGGGGAGCAGCTCACCTCCAAGTTTGAGGAAAGAGAGCTCGACTTCTCGTGTGAACCAGGAAGAGGAAGACAACAACAATGTCAAATCGGCAAGAGAAGTAAGCCCTTTTCTTCTGATCTTTCGTTCACACCCAGTTCAGTTTTGGTATTATTTTCATTTCCAGGGGTAATGTTGTTCATATGTATCCAAGGCTTCGGTTTCGTATTCGTGATGTGTTGTGAATTGGTGCGGTTTTATTAGTTTCTGCATGAGCATTTTAGATATGATTTTCCATAGTTCTAGTTTTTTTCAAATTCTATAGCCGAAATTACCCAGTGTTAATTTTCTGTTTTTCAGCAGTTACTCAAAACGGAACCGGTAATGTTCTCATGGGATCTCAGTGAATGTTCCTCCCTGAACGAGGAACTGTTACAGGGGGAAACATCACCAACTTCGACGGGCAAATCAGGAAGCTGTCAAGATCCTCTATGTTTTTGCCACAGCAGGTCGCCGCGTAGTTTAGTCTTGCGAGGAAACAGAAAGGAGATGACAAAACTAAATTGGGGGAAGCCTATCGACGATGATTAAGTTTTCAAATAAATGTACATCCGGTTAATTTCAAAAAAAATTATAAAATGATTAATATTAAACTTTGATGTAGTAGATCTCTTTTCATTCGCTTTACATCACGTAGTCTCTAAGATTATCGTTCTCCGGGTTTTAATGTTTTCACTTTTTGAATTATATCCAAGTGCTTTATGATACTGAATAGGAAATAAAAATTCATTAATTAATAACAAATGTTAGAAGTGAGAAGATGCGGTAAGAAATGAAGTGAGATGCATTTTAACAATGAGATACAAATGTTAAGGCAAGGAATAGCTTCAACTGCTACGGAACTAAACGATACCTCTCATACCATAACAACGAACAACAAAGAGTAATATGTATAATTTGAAAGATAGGAACAGACAAGGCACAGATCACTCACTGAATATACTGGGATCTGTTGAAAGATATTACAACGAGTTTAAAGTAGTCAAACATGTTAATTATGGTTAAAACTGAACACGTCAATCGCATGTTACCTAGACATAAAATAATAAAAACTGAGTTTTCGAAATTAAAAAACGAATGAGTCGCCTATATAATGCTTTAAGAAGCTGATCGGCACAACCGTCCAAGCGCTTAACACATGAATGAAAGAGCATTAGCAATGCGTGACCATACGTGGAATACGTGTAGCTGCGGATAATTCCTTCATGTGATTAGAAGTTTACTACATAGAACGCTTAATGTCATTTCCTTTTAAAAAATACGGTTCTTTTAGAGCATCACATGCTGCGATGCGCTGTTGCGGACAGAATGTTAAGCATTTTTTGACGAGATCAGCAGCATCGGGGGTTAAACGAGGGTTCAACCTATAAAGAGAAAACAAATGACATGAGCGAGAGCTGAACCTTACCGCCTGATATCATTCTCCGGATAAGAGGCATAGAAGGATCGATCGATAATAGCATCCAAGGGCCATTGCGACGTTCTAGGCGTACCCATTTTTCTGAACAAGAAAATTCTCAAAAGACTCGGATGCTCAACCTACTGGAATATTATATTAAGCTGTTGAGATTCTGTACCACCTGGGAAAAGAGGTTGTCTGAAACACCATGTGAAAAAAGAGGAGAAAACCAAGTTAAACCTTGCATATAATTCACTAAGAATACAACCAACAGCCCAGATATCTACAGCAGTATTATATTTACATTGGAGCAAAAGCTCAGGACTGCGATACCATAAAGTTACAACCTTTAAAGAGAACGCTGATTAGAGTCAACAGACACATGTAATCATACCACAGTTGTGAATGTGCTCTGAGATCCATAACAACGAGAAAGTCCAAAATCAGCTATTTTAATGGTTTGATCCCTGTTAATGAGAACATTTTGTGGCTTTAAGTCGCGATGTATTATGTTCATGCTGTGGAGATAGTCTACACCTTCCAAAATCTGAAACTTTCCGTGATAAGAACAAAAAGAAAACGAAGCAAAGATATTTTGTACCTGTCTAGCTATGAATCTTGATTGATGCTCTGGCATATCTTTCGGAATTTCTTTCAAAAACGTATATAAATCCCAATCGCACTTCTCGATCACCATGTTTATGAACAGAAACGAGGGATCATTCGAATCTACATAGTGGAACACATCGTGCATCCTGCAAAATTCATAAAAAAATAAAAGTTTAATCTTATCTCACCTCAGAACATTCTTATGATACAATCGATGGAAACTCTTCATAGTGGCTATCTCTCGTAAAACTGACTGTGGAACTCCTTCTTCATTCACAGTTACTTGAATTTTCTTGAGAGCAAACTGGAACTGTCTACTGTTAATAGATATCGGATGCTTAACTAACCTGTCTCCCGGTTGGCATGTGGTTAACTAGATAAACGTGGCCATATGCTCCTTTCCCTAACAAGCTAACCTAATACAGAACTTTCAAGATATATTATTCTGTCAGACAACAAACCTGCTGATACTCATCGGCTTTTGATACGACCCATCCATGTGTCTCACGTTCTCCGATGAATGGAGCGGTAAGTAAAGCCATGTAACGATAATCTGAAAAGTGCAAAATAACAATGAAGAGCAGAACTATCACCGGAACCAATGACTCTCAGAGGTACCTTTAGAGACAAAATTAATAAACGATGCTAAATCTCTCTACCACTCTATCCTCCTCTCTCTCTCTTCTACTCCCCTCTCTCTCTCCCTCTCTGACGATTCAAAGAGAGAGAATAATGAAGAGAGAGGAAGAGTAATGACAAAATACCGATAAGACTGATTACGTGAATTACATGATACGATATAACTCTTACAATATTATTGAAGTACAAACAAGATAACTTTACACTTGACTCACACTTCTGAATCCTCTCTTTTGATTTTTTTACGCATTCTAAGATCTTTTTTCTCTATTTTTGCTAAAATTCAGACAGCATGAGGTTGACTGCAAGGTCACTAGCGTCTCCAGCAGGTTATGGCGCCTTAATTTTTCGAAGAACGTCCCTACGCAGTTGTTTCCATTATGGCAACAGATGTACGTATTGCGTATATGTAGGTTTTTTGGGTTTTGATGTCATACTGCACAGACACAGACATAGCAGACATTAGCTTTCTTCGATCAACTGATGACAAAAGAGGTCTTTGACTGTTTTTATGTTCTTTTGGTCGTCCCTTTATTCATTGATGCATATAAGAGAGATATTGTTTTCTCACACCACTTCCTCTTTGATACTTTCTTCTTGCTCCGAATCATTTAAGATTCCCTGATCTTTTATGTTGAAACGAGCTCGCTTACGTTTCCAGAAACATTTTATGTATAAATCCTATATCCAATCGGTTTTTGCCACGAAATCATACTCCATTGTGAGAGAAAAAAATTTATTAACGAGCGATCCGTTGAAGATCTAATCGCAATCCCGTGTTTGAAGATGTGATAGAGGAAGCGTCTTACTACTACGGCTACGATAAGATTTCTGGGTCAAAAATTGCTCTCTAGATTTATGCCTCTTTCCATGGAAGAATTGTAATTCAAAAATCGATTGACACGAAATTATAGAACAAAAAGTGTCGCTCTTCGGTATAGAAATTATGAAGATAAGCAAAACGAATTCAAACGAAAAACAGCTGGCGAATTTTTCGTCAGACTTTCTTACTTTTAATGATGAAAGCATCATACACTATGTTAATATTTGGTTTTTTCTTTAAATCAGTGCCCTAGCTGTTTCATTTCAGTTCATATCCCATTCAATTTCATTCTCAATCATTACGTTTCAGAAAATTTCTTGAGTAATGAGCTTTATAACTTCGTGCTTGCCATGCTTTCGAAGTTGCCTGGACTGCGTTCAAGGACCTAGTTTCATGGGGTCTGCTTCTTACAGCAATTTCACTACACCCATTGTTCCTACCGTTCGTTTGGATGTTGGGCATATGGGTGAGTCCACGAATCTGATATAAGTGAACAGTATTTCTAGGGAAGGACGTTGTCCTCCTCAAAGAAGGAGAACGAATCTGTGGAACAGGTGCGGCTCTTGCTACAGTCCCCATTGTGCAAAACAAAGCTTATTTCCAAGTTACTCTGCAACAATCAGGTGAGCTCAAATTATAATATGCCTAACGAGAAAACTTCGCAGGAACCTGGGGTATTGGACTAGGGAATAAGAATACCAATTTGGATACGATCCCTGCTGTTCAGAATTTCTGGGGAATTCGAGAGAATGGTGATGTTGTTGCTAATGGTGATGTCATCGGGAAACTAAACAAAGCTTTAGACGAGGGAGATTGCATTGTAACTTCATAAACGTTTGTCATATGAACATGATACAATTCAGGGTGTATCATATGACCATATAGAACTGAAATTTTTCGTGAATGGAGAGGAAGCCGAACCGGCGATTACAAATGTTAAAAGCCCGGTATGGTTAGAAGAAAGATTGACACTTCTATTTCTACGATTTCCAGGTTTATCCGACTATTTATGTAGATGATTCCGCTATTATGGATGTGAAGTTCAAGAACTTTTCTTATGATGCTCCTCCAGGCTTTGATGAGATTCTGGTAGAACAAACATTGCTTTAGAAGTATTGACCAATATACCGTAATGTGATAAGATTTATATTTTCTAACTAATTTATCGAGAAAATGAATTGAGAAATGAATTCAAACTCCTATCTTTCTCTGAATCATCGTCTTGCAGGAGCTTTGACAAGGCGGACCCTTTCTTTTTTTTCGATTTACTCAGGGTACTTAGAGACCTGTAATGATAATCAGTAATTTTAAAATTTGTGAAGTACGCAAATACGGTGATGGAGGTATTCCTTTATTCTTGGGTGTGCTGGTCAATAACTTTTGTGCTGACAAAATTAAGGATCGTCCCAATGTTGAAGATATTGATGAATTCAATGTATCGCTTGTCTGATTGAGTACAGAAGCTGCAAAACGTACTTCAAAACACTTGACTAGCTTTTTTAAAACCATTGAGATCATCTTGATGTAAAGCCTTTAACTTTCCTGCGTAGAGTTTTGAACCGCACGCATTACATTTACCATATAATGTACGAACATCCCTTAAAGAAATGTCAACATAGAACTAGTAAAATCCCACTTTGTGTTCACTTTCACGTTCAATGATAAAGTTTTGCTCGATTGTAGGTTTATCCCACAATATCCGCAGGCAGTCTTCTTTTTCTGAACATAAAATAAGCTTTGCCTAACATTAAGATTGCGCTAACATGTTTTCCTGAGAATCTTGTGTTCTTCATTTGCCAAGAAGCAATAATCGGGAGAGGCAACTTATTCAAGTTCCTATCAACAATTTCACTCAAATATTTAGCAGTCCTATCTTTCCCGATGTTTAAATTAGCCCTGAAGCCCGGCTCATCTTCCTCGTCGTTTGCAACTTCAAACTCGCACTCCCACATCTACAAAACTTCATAGATAATTTGAATAGGGTTTCTCTAAGGTATCTAAGGCCATGCCAAACGTTCAGTGTTGGAAGAGATAACATTCAATTTTATTATGTTCCAGGCAACCAACACCACTTTCCCAACGTTAGTACTCGAAAAAAAACAAAAACTATTATTAAAAAAAACACAAAACATTAATGAGTGGCATGGCAACAGAAAGCCAAAAGAGGAGATTAATAAAAGGCTGTGTCAGCAGGCCAACCATCATATAAAAAATAACACTTCCTATTTATTCGGCAAACAAACAAACAACGATGGAATCAAGCCGACGGATATATCTCTCAAAAAACAAAACAACGTAAGGAATGGCTACGCCTTGGAACAAAATAGGAAGAAGGTGTACGAAACACCTTAAACGGCACGACTCTTAGGCGGCTTTATTAGACTGAGCGAGAACGCTAGCAGCCTCATCAACTCTGGCACGGAACAGTTCAGTGTCCTGCAGCATCATGATAAGTTCCGAGTTGTCAATTTCAAGCATCATTCCGGTGATTTTTCCGGCTTCCTTGTGGTTAGGATACATTCTATCAATGAGGGCATAAATGCGCTCTCCCAAGAGTTGCTTTTGCTCCTGAAGTATGGATTGTTTTAAGAAATATTTCTACAAGATTACTTGTGGAGCAGCTTGAGATAACATAAGAGTGGTCAAAGGTTCTTGTCCAGAAACAACGATTCCTTGTGGGGGTCTCTGTTGTCCCTGTTGGGTGAAGATTGGAGCACCTGGCTTAGCACCAGTGGGTCCAGAGCGTCCAACCTAGGATAGCCGGAATTATATACTATCATGTTTTGCACAACTCACTTGGTTAGGTCTTTGGTTAGCACCTTGAGGCTGTCCGGCTACTGGTCCAGATTGTCCAACACGCTGTTGAGGAGTGCGAACAACACCTTGGGCGTTATTGGCAGGGTATTGTTGAGTTCCACGAGCTCCACCGGTGTTTCCGTTTGTTGGACGGACACGTCCAGCATACATTTGTGGGTTTGGAACCATGTATGTTCCGGTACCATTATACTGGTTTTGAACATTCCATTGTCTAGCATTCATACGAATGTTAGTTCCTCCGGCAGATGGGACGAAGCCGCCACGTTGGTTCTAACAAGAAAGTATAAGGCATGAGAAATGAAAAAACTTACAGGAAGGGTGCTAGAAACAAAGAATCCTCCAGTACCTGGAGTGTACATAGTTCCAGCGCCAACACTGTGCATGCGCATGTTAGCCAAACGCTGCATGTATTGGGAGGCAAGTTGAGCACGACGATCTTCCTTTCTTTGGGCAATAGCAACGTACAAAGGCTTAGAGCAGACCATCTTGGTGTTCATTTCAGTAACAGCCTTAGTAGCTTCTTCAGGGTTTTCAAAGCAGACGAAACCAAATCCTTTGGATCTACCAGTTTCATCAGTCATGACCTGAATATCAAAATCATTAAGAAACATAGTCCAGCGCAAAATCATACCTTGACGGAGGTGATTTTTCCGTGCTGTTCGAAATGCTTGCGGAGAGTTTCATCATTCACAGAGTCATCAAGGTTCTTGACATACAAGTTTACGCCAGAGAACTTGGAAGCACGTTCAGATTTGTGTTGTTCGAACTTCTTCTTGAGTTCTGCGTTACGTTCACTCTTCTTCTGAGCACGTCCGACGAAAAGTTTGAGGTCACTTCCATCCAAAACCTTATCGTTCATAGCGGCGACAGCCTAAAACAGTTACATTCAATAAATTTGGGAGAAATAACAAACGAACATTTTCGGCATCTTCTGGCTTCTCGAAAGCAACAAAACCGAATCCACGAGATTTTCCATCTTGTTGCTTCATAACGGTGAAGCTAGTGATTTTTCCGTAAGCAGAGAAAAGCTTCTCAAGCTTATCATCATCGAGCTCTTCACCAAAGTTCTTGACGAACAAGTTGGTGAACTTGGTTCCACACTCTCCTCTTTCTTTAGCACGAGCAGCTTGTGGTTGGAACTTTCCGACAAAGCTAAAATAAAACTATAGGTAATCGACTGATCCAAGCTCGACGTACACTTTCTTTCCAGCTAAAAGCATACCATTAACTTTGGTAATAGCATTAAGAGCATCTTCTTCTTTTTCGAAGTGAACAAATCCGTATCCCTTGCTGTTTCCTTCGTCATCAACAGCAACCTGAAAAATTAAATAGGTGAGCGAGAAAATATCCGTCAGTTGCATACCTTGCATGAGAGGATACTTCCGAAGAGAGAGAAAGTATCGTAGATAGACTTGTTGTCGATAGATTTGTCCAAATTCTTGATGAAAATATTTCCTGAACCAGATCTGCGAGCAGCGGGGTCACGCTGAGACCACATAATACGCATGGGCTTTCCATGCAAAATGTCGAAGTTCATGGTATCCAAAGCACGCTCAGCTACATAATGAATTAGAATACTACACTAAAAATATGAAAATACCATCAGCAGGCTGTTGGAAGTTGACGTAAGCATATCCAAGAGAAAGACGACTAGCGTTGTCACGGCAAACTCGGATAGAAAGAACAGGACCAGCGGTACTGAATTTCTCGAAGAGAATAGCCTCGTTGACATCAGGGTGTAAATCTCCGACATAGAGAGAAGCCATTGAGTAGGAGGCAGACCCAGCATTACCACTTGCAACAGATGTAGCCATTTTTCACTGAAAACAACAGATCAATTCTCTCAAATACGTTTCTTCTAAGTTTCCACAAGAATGACGCAATTTTTGCAAAATAAACCAGAAAAATTACTGACTTGACCAACAAGACTCAGAACTGTTTTTAACGTCAGTATACCGAAGCGTCTGACTGGCTATTAGCCAAAACAAAAATTTGAATAATTGCGTCATGCGTGAGAAACGTGAAACAATCGTGCAAACAACAGAAAAACAAAAACTAACCTTTTCTTTGATACTGGTATTGGAGATTGATGTAGGTGATGTTTCTTTTTGGGTTTTTGAAACTTTTATTTTTTTTTATGGGTTTTAGGTTTTTTCAAATTTTTATGGGGTTTTTGAGCAGTATATTGCAGGACAAGGATTTTAGACCCTGTTGGACAAAGTCACGAGGGGTCGGTCGGGGAAAATCCGCAAAGAGTGCTTTATTTAGGCCAGGCCGCGTGAGGGCAGAATCTTCACCCTACCACAAACCTTGTGTACCACTACAGAAATTGGAGCGGCGCGTGTCGCGAAGCGTGCGTTACGGTAGAATTTTGGACTATTGCCAATTCGAAAACCTTACTCTATGTAGTTCTTATATTCAAATCTTCAGTACTTACTTGTGAACTATTTTGCGAAATGAGTATGTTGTTGTTAAGGTATGAAGCAGGATTCTTTGAATGTTGCGGAAGAGGATAGAGAGGAAAACTTGTCATGTCCCAATAGAAAAAAGTTCCAAGCAGAATTGGATCTATGTGACTCGGCAATAAATAAAAATAATATAAAAGTGCGTCCCGTTATAATAAATAAAATTTTAAGATAGTACACTTTCAGCTCACTGATATACTTTCATCTATAGCTGGAGTTAATAGAGAAATTAGTCAAATTAATATTCTGATAAAACAAAGTAGAGAACCATATAGGATAGCGATGCAAGAAATTGGTAAAAAGCGGGATAAATTGGTTAGTATATTATACTGTACAACATTTCTTTATTAACTGCAGAGAGACGATAAATTCGAAGTTGAAAGAGAATGCCCACATCGCGATATGCAGGAACTGGAAAGATGTTTAGCACGAAAAGAGAAGGAATATAGAAATACTGTGCTCGATGCTCATCATGAACGAATTTTAGTAACAGAAATTAGCGTTTTGAAGAAGAACAAAGCTACACTTTCGTAGGTATTCGATGTCGGTTGTTTAATTACCTACATTTTGCAGGCAACTACTTTTGATAAAGAAACAAATTGAGGACAACGATACATCATTGTCGCATTTGAGGAAAAAGGTTAGTCAGTTGTTTTTATAGTAACATCCAGTGTTTAAGCGCGAGAAATGCGAGAAGATTGCTGAATTGAAGAGCCAAAGCACCAAGCTGAAGACAGAACGGGTCAACCTTAATAGGATCTACGATACCAGCAAAGACAACATGAAATTCCTTATTTCAAAAAAGAATGATTTGGTAAAAAATTATAAGTTGGAGTGTTCGCGTTGGAAAAATAAGGTATTAAACTACAATTAATGATCAGTTTATTTCATTTTTCAAAGAAAAATAGAGCTAATCAATATCCATCTACGTTTCCCTCTCTACATCGTTTATCCGAAAGTATGTTCATATTCATACTTATCCAATATTTTGATCTATTTATGTATAGATAATCTCATAAACGAAGACGAACTTGAGCCATTCCATGAACAAAAGAACGATTTGAGATTGCTCATAAGTTATTTGGAGAAACTTGACTTGCAAAGAAACGCCTCAGGAAGTTTACAGAAAAGTTGCTCCGAGGTTTGTTATATCAAAATTCTTGGAGGTAATGTTAGAGGTTTTAGAATGAGGAAGACTCTGCTGATGAGTTCACAGCACATTTTCAAAATTTGACTTTTTGTCCTGTGGTATTAAATAATCAGAAGAATGTAAGAAGGAAAACATTGAAGAAATCAGTATCAGTTTTGTCAAAAAACAAAAAGCTTGACAATCAAGTATTAATTTTTTGTATTTCTGACCTCGACAGTGTTCATTTATAGCCCATTTCTCATGACTTGCCTCACTTCCAGCTTTTTGGAAGAACTAACACCGTTGTTCCTGCCACATTTGGAGTTGTGAAGGCAGTTTTAGACGAGGCAAAAATCGAATTATTTTTATCAATGTAACATGTTCGTCATAGGTGCGGGAAAAATTGGCTCTTCTTGATAACAAAACAAACGAAATTGAATGGGATGAGAAAGATGTATCAGAATTCTGTAAGGAAAACCTTTTTTACTGGTTTTACTTTTTTTTTCAGCAAATGGCTTCTCTTCGTGTACCACCAGCGTTACTGATTCGGCTTTCGGTTACTGAGTCATATAGAAGACCATTCCAGCATTTAACCTTTTTGTTTTTCATCTTCAATTTCTTTGTCATTCCACCTACTTAGGTATATAATATTTAATGTTGTTTGTAGGCCTCCTCAAAGTAATAGGCGAATGAGATAGTATTTATAGTTTTATAAGATTTCTATTTTTATCATACCCTTAATCAATTTCATTCATACCGGTGATATAACTAACAGCTCAAAACTATGAATAGAGTATTCTAAGAGTTTATTAATAATTTTATTTACAATGCATGTTTCATTAAATTTCATAAATTTTTGTAAGAATATGCGTAGTTATTGTGTGAGTATCATATATGGGTATCATGGACATTAATGCTCAAGAGCTCGAGACTAAACTATACAGGGTAGAGTTCAAATAAATAGGAATATTTGCGCCTGGCGTATCTGATTAGACTATACACATTGAGTTTACATATTAACAGGTAGCGACTGTAAGTTTGACTAACAGTCTAGCACTTTTCAAAACATGTAACTGTAAACTGAACAGGCGTTGAACTTCTACTCCAAATAGTCCAGAAAGGTGATCCTTCAGAACTGAGAATGATTGAAGTCAAATGGTTAGGAACAGCTTTGAAAGGTCTTCCATTCTCTCTGAAAAATGAATTGATCATTGATCATTCCGAAGAAATATTTTGAAGATCATCTCTACTCACCTGATAATTCGTTGGGCTAATTTGATCTCTGCGGCTGAAGCGAGTCCTTGCCGCCGGTTATCAGGATGAGTATAAAGGTTGAGCATATCTCCACGAGAGGAGCAAAGCTCATGAGTTACAATGTCTCCGGAGTTTGCGTGACGTATACATACTGACGGTAAGTATCGGATACGATCACTAAATAGAACGGTCAGCTTCCGTTTTGACTTGTATTGACTTACCCAATCAAGGCGATTGAGTCATCATTGGTTTTGCAATGCACCAGTTTAGCTGCTTCAGATACATCGAGCTTGGAAAAGGTGAAACCGTAAGGGAGGGTTACGTCAAGCTGAAACAATTTTAATGTTATCGAGTTTTACAAGTACAATATATGATGTTTGTAATTGTCTTTGTTTCTCTCCTCATATAGTACAGCTGTATCATCAATGATATTAAACTACCTATGCCCTCCTACGAGGCAAACACGAGTGGGTAGTTATTTATTATATTTGATTGCAGACAGAAAATTTGAAGTGTAGTTTAAGGGAGAGATAGAAAAAGTATTTTCAGGAACGAACCTTATTGCAATCTTCAATCTGATCATCGGACATGTAGAATACGGTAAAAGGAACACGTGATACTGGCTGATGGTCAGAAAAGAACTCATGAAGTAGAGAAGATAACTGAAAAAAATTAATAGTATGTTCGAAATCATCTCCCAGAACATGTTGTTATTGTATGCATATGAACTTAAAAACAAAAACTGATTATCGCACGTCTCTTTCAAAAGTTTCAAAACTGCTCGTCGTCAACGACCAATGACATCAGGTGAATTTTTTGTCAACAGCGAAGAATTCGAAAACATTTGATAGGAGTTGATATGATATATCGTTTTTCTCCCTTTCTTTCTTCTGACAACATCAGAAACAGTTTATGAAAAACTTTCAGTGGTTTATGTTTTGAACTTACATCGTGAATCAGATGGAGTTCGGTAGATATACTGATTTTTTTGTAGTCTACCAGCATCTCAAGCTCTCCCAGAAACTGAGTGGCGGCGGTCAGAAAAACGAAGCGATCGTGGAAGTCACAGTTTTGAGCTAGATGGATAGCAGGGCTGTAATGGAACAGAATTAAACTTGAATTCTCTATTGTTTCCAATATTTTCCTTTTTATAATATATAATCAGAGCTATACACAATTCTAACATTATTCGGAGGGTCTTTGATCCAAACGTTGAGCTGATATTCACTAGAATATGCAACAAAGGTCAACTAGATCTCTTGCATTGATATGAGAACAGTATAATAATCACCATTAATTATACAATATACTTATCAAGTTGATTATCGTCAATATCAATGGCACCATCATATGTTGATGACTTACTTTCATGTTGACGGTATTACAGACAGTTCATATATCCCATGGACCACAAGGGACCAACTTACAGACATCATTAGCATGAACCGCATATTTTAGTTTTTTTTGGATAAAACAGGAGATGTTCTTTCATTTTCAAAAAAGTTTTTCTGAGTGAGCGGTCATACTTAATTGGGAAATTAAGGGTTTTTCAAACTTTTTCTTTTAAAACTTATCAATGAATTATTTGTAATATTGGCAGGCAATATTTTCCTGATATTATTCAAAAAAATTGGCGCAGAATTCGATAACACTGTAAATCATAAACTTTGAAACTTACCAAGCATTCTTTTGGAGATCTACCAAGAACCAATAAATTGGGTTCTCGAATGGATAGGAGAAAATACGAAGTTCATTGCATGGGTAATGATTCATGTAGTAGTTCTTGATAGAGTGGTGGATAAATAGTAATTCAGGAATTCCTTGAGTAAGCTCTAGAGCTGCTTCAAGCTCTTTTTTACCGAGATATTCTTTAAGCATGATCATCACTCTGAAAAAAGAGTACGTTTAGAGTTCAAATTTTTATCCTGAACAATGCGAACATATGATAACGACCGACAGAAAAGAATTTCCTTGGAACTAAGGTTAGAGAACATTTCAAGAAAGAATAAAGGTCATTTTAGCCGTCAAAGCGTTTAAGAAGAGACGTTGAATAAAATGAAGATGGGACTGTTGTTGAGACTTCACTTAAAAAGGGTTATCAATTCATAATTTCATAAGAAATGGGCGTGTATCATAATATTTGGCATGTGACTATTATATTTGGCTGAAACATAAAAACGAGCTTTGACAGGTTCACTAAAGAGTCGGAGATGTTGAGAACATTCGGTTACATCTGAGAGAATAATAGTGTTGATTGTTCACTGCAAAATTTGAGCAGTATCATGAAAGAATGCAGAAGTTTGAAAAAATTAGGCACGCTTAAACTTTTCTAGCACTGTTGGTCATCTGTTGTAGCATAGCGCTACGCTTCCTTTTATATATCATGATATGTTCAAGAGAACAACGTTTCAACGACAGTGGGGCTTCAGTAGATGATATAGACGACATTCACAAAGAAATATTGGTCATTAAAGACATAGAAAGCACGTTACACGATTCTGATGTAATCACACGATGAAGTATGGAAATTGGAAGGACAACTTGAGCGGGGGGAATGTAGTGCTCTAGATGAATCATATATCATGATTACTGTATAATACTTGGGATATCACTCCGGTATATAAATTACCGGCAATCCTCAGAAAAGGCAACCCCCAGAGCAGGATTTATTCATGGATAACAGTACTATCAGGTTTTTTAGCTTCTGCTTGAAATGAATAGCTGTATCCTTCTAACCAGAAAATTTATACACAAATAAACCATCAGGAATCTATTTATAGTAATAATGATTAGCCTTTGAAGAATGTACAAAAAGGTCAGAAAGGGGACTTCAAGGATGGACACAGCTTGGACATAGTCATGACGAACACGTCAGTACTTGTTTACCACACACGAAATTCATCGCTGAAGTTGAGAAAGGTCAGCGCCTTTTATATGGGCACCTGGCCACGGCCAAACAGCCCGTCTTAATGATTTTCAAAGATGTGAAACAATCTTTTTCGATGACAAATGAAGTTATTTATAGGTGATGAAAATTGTTCCCAAGGATCAGCAATGCTTTCTTAGAAACTAGCCCAGCTCACAGACAAACACATCGTAAATAGGAAGTCGATGTAAAATAGTTCATTTTCGTGATATTTATCACCTGATGCAGAGCGAGAGAAACTTGGTGAATAGGGAGATATGTGAGAAGGGTTTAAGAGAAAACAGGCAGAAGTCAAATTGAGAAAAACTTCTGATAAAAGAACATTAAATGTATAAAGAGATAAAAAAATTGTCACAATTTGACACATGGTGTCCGACCATAAGCAAAACGTTGCTAACAGCATTGTTTACGGTAAGATGTAATGCTGCCAAATTTGATCACCCAGTTACTCTCTATGATCTATCATCTAGAATTTTCGTTGAACCTTTATTAATATTCTTTTTTTTCCAACGAAAGATGCAGTCCTCAACTTTTGAAGCTTCTTAAGTTCTAAGCTAAGAAATCGTACATGGCATAACTGACGTCAACCGATCAGTCGAATCACTTACTATGTGACCTTTTGTGGAATGAAAAACTAAAACATGACGAATTATTTCGGAAAAGCAGATGATGACAAATACAATAGCACTTTCACTGTCTTTCATCCATTTTGATCTCAACTTAGCTCGAACACGTCACTGGAGCACTGATGGTCAGCGGTCACTGACTTTTATCCGGATTTAGACACGAGCTACATCAAGAGAGATCAAAAAGGAAAAATTGAAGTAGGAAAGAATCAACTATTGATAAATCATCTGTTATGTGATTTATTGCTTCAATTCAAGGGAGGGTTCGCAAGTTCCAAGAAAAGATTGCGTCAGAATGATGATATTAAGAAAAGCTATACATCTCAAACATTTCATGAAAATCATCATGAATTACCATAAAATCAAGTTAACAAGCACTTTATATCATATGGTTCGAACATTTGTAGTCGTTACGTCTTCAAGAATGACAGCGTTATAAAACATTGATCACAAGAATATAAGTGAAACCTGTCATGAAAGGAAGAGGAAGTATAAATATCATTTGATATTGATAGCACTCTTATTAACATGTGAGGAGAACGTAAGCATTTCATATTGAGTGCAGATATAAAGCAAAGTTGATTCAAGATCTAGCTGACTGAGTGCTTTGGAACAGTCTCATCCTTTATATATGGTAATAGTCGACCTCATCAGGATGATGCAATCTCACCATCCTTATCCGGAAACAACCAGAAAATCTTACATGTGATTTGCACATGAACGATACGCTTAATATTATTATATATCATAAATTATTTTCTCTTAAAAGAAGTTATTGGATGATGGCAAGAGTGATCTTTGACATCCTTTTATCTCTATAACGATATACTTCCGATCCTATGATCACAATAGAGTTTCCTATTCAAATTCGCTATCATCTGAACTCAACTCAGCTAAAGTCATTTTTATTTTGAGTACTAATCCACGCACGTGCGGCCGCATTCCAAACTCCTTTCCACAATAAGTGAACCCATTTTTCATCATTTTTTTCGATTTCATGTTTTTGATAACTTTTTCTCAATGAATGAAATATGAAACATATCTTATGTTTTCATCGATGTTTTTTAGTTGTTCTGTGGATGTGAAAGATAGGTGGCGATAATTTTTCTTCTCTTGGTCTTAGAAATAAACTCTGAAATGTTGTTGTTCCGAAGTTTCAGAAGTCGGTGGGTTGGATCTCAATACGATCTTTCTATTCTCATCATGTATGGCCTGATGCTATCAACTAGATATTATTCAAAAACATAACTGTTAAAACACTGTTAGAAGCAGGAGTGTGTTAAAGACTTCGTCTATTTATGAGTAAGTACATATCCTTGAGAGAGTACAGCAAGAGAGAGAAAACTAAAACGAATAGAGAAAGGAAAAAACGAAGCAGATTGAAAGTTTTTGGAAGTTAACCCAAGTTTGTCATCTGTATATCCTGAGACTGTCGCGCGATTTTCAGATATTTCATCATACTTTTTCATGGATGAAAGAAGGATCGCAGCCAGATGATGACAGTATTCGTCAAAAACCAAAAATGGTAAGACCAACGGTAAAGATAGCATGATTAATTAGGCCGTAGAAAACGTCAACTATCATTTGATATAATTATGATATCTTGTCCCTATCACGTGGCAATCGGATGTGTGTATAAAGAAAACTATTAATGGGCTTCGAGGATATTCGGAACAGGCTATTATGAGAACATCCAGCAATGAGTATAAGATTTTGTGACTCATGATGCTTCGGAGACCTCCACCTACAGTTATCATACATTTCAAGATTTTCGGAATGTTGAAGAAGAAAGAAAATGTGTCAAATCTACTGAAAACACTGTTTTGTTCAGGTTCCAAGAGAATAAATAGATTTGAACGCTGTACAGTCCTGGAATTTTTTCCTGATTATATAAATCGAGAAAATTAAGTTTTGATTTAAAAATAGTGGACAACATCGAGCAATTCCGCTTGCCCTTCTGAATTTGATGAATATGGTCGTCTTATGTCCAGAGAGCAGTTATGACATGAATTTAAAAGATTCTTTTGATAAACCTGAACTTTTGAAGTTGAGAACTAATGAAAACAATCTTTACTCTTACACATACATCTTCATTAGTTGACCGAAATATCAATTTCAACAGAACAGTTATTAATACTTTCCTTGAAAACAAGAGTCGATGAGCTTCTTTCAGCAATCAATGACCAATCAGCATAAGTTCCGGCAACGCGTGCATTTCCTTTTTTGAGAAAGATAAGAAAAGAAATTTATCAATCTATGATCTAGAACTCAAAAATCTCTCAACTGTTCGTAAACAAAAGTGTTAAAATCTAACAATGTCAACATCATCTACGAAGGCATGCAATAAGAGAAGCCCAAAAACCAGAGTAGTACCCATTCAATAGACTGATCGACGATCATCTGAGAAGATGATTTCACTTATCAAGGATCCAGAAAAAAGCTCGAATAAAACTGGGAGCGTTGTATACCCTATTCGGTCACTTCATGTCCCTGAGTACATACCACCCAAGATTTTAGAGATATAGTTGGCAATTTTCAGTTCAATGAGACGAACAATTGGTTGTACGTGACACGCCGAACCACGTACTGAATTTCTCCTTTCGAAAAAAATTCAAAACAGCACTGGAGCGTGTTTCATGATTTTTTTTAGCTTATGTGGTTTACATTACCCCTTTTTACATATTTTCCTTTACAGGCTATAGTATATTTAGCTATATATTCATCGAAACTTGTTTTCAAAAATGGTCTCTATATCAAAAGCTGACTATCTGAAAAAGTATCTATCCGGAGGTGGGGATGACGACAGAAAAAAGAAGAAGAAAAAAAAGGAAAAAGAGCAGACGTCGAAACAATCAGGGTTGGTGATTCGCATATGGCTCCTACTGAGTATTTAATTGATAGAATGAAAATTGTGGACGATGAAGCTTTCATAACGGTCAGAACGGAGGCCCGCTCTGATTCTGAAGATGAGGAAGAATTACAAATGATTGAAGAGTTAAAGAGAAAGGTTCAGTGCTTCAGAAGCAGATTGTTTCTAATTTTGTTTTCAGGCACGCAAAGGGCCACGGTTCAAGAAAACCTTTTTAAGCGCAGGTAATTTTCTATTTTTTGATTTCTAACTATTCCCTCGTATTCAGACGATGATGAAGTAGTTGAAGTGAAGCAAGGTTTTCTCCTATACATTGTTCTTTTGATTATATTCTTGTAACTATTAGAACCATTATCAGACGAAGAAGGAGCTGTATCATTTCAAATCAGGCCTAAAGAATCACATGATCCTAAAGTTAAACAAGAAGTTGATTCTGACGCTTCTCCACAACGTAAGAGGGAGAGACACGATTCAGGTTTTTTTCAACTTTATTAACATCTAGTTGGAGTAATTCAGACAAATCTCCTAGAAGACGGCATGATTCTGATGGTGAACCTTAGTTTTGACGAAAGACAAACATTTTCAAATTTGTTTCAGATAACTCGCCACCAAGAAGACGAGCCAGGCATGATTCTGATAGTAAATGCATTGATAATACTATATTTTTAACTGAACTGTTTTAGATGATTCTCCACCAAGAAGACGAGTTCGACATGATTCTGACGGTATGGTGTTTGATTCGAGGAATATTAGCTTCTTCTTATTTCAGAAAAATCCCCTCCGCGCAGACGAGCACGACATGATTCAGGTAGAAAAATTTCTAAAACAGCCTTGTTGTGTTTCCGACAGTTTGTCATATCTTCATCAACTTATTTTTCCCAGACGCTTCTCCTCCCCGACGAAATCAAGATCGATCTCCTGCGCGGCGTCGGAGGCATGATTCCGAAGGTAGCATAATGTCAAATATTCTGATATCCGTTTTTCAGATGCATCTCCCCCTCGAAGAAGAAGAGAACGACATGATTCAGGTTTGTCAAATGTCAACCAAGATCCTACAATTTTTTTCAGATAATTCACCTCCAAGAAGAAATCGTTCTCCAGCGAGACGAACACAGCGCGATTCCGGTAAGAAGGTAGAGTTGAGACATGGTATAAGCTTCATTCAGAAAAATCGTCTTCCCGAAGGAGAAAGGAACGCTATGACTCAGGTTTGAGGTTACGTCTTTTCCACATTAATACAAATTTCAGATCAATCACCTCCTCGTCGAGCTGATAATAAATCGCCAAGAAGAAAGAGACATGACTCGGGTAAGTTAAAGTTATACATTTTGTTTCTCATCTTATTTCAGATAATTCACCACCTCGCAGACGTAGAGATAATGCTAAAGGTCAGCTTATGCCTTACCGGCTATGATAAATTTTATCTTTAGATAGTTCTCCTGATCGTAAGAAAAAGCGCTACGACTCTGGTATAATAATATAAATAACTTGCATGCTCAACCCCACTATTTCTCTACAGATGAGTCACCTCCAAGACGCTCTGCTGCTGATATTAAGAAATCACCTCCTAGTTCTCCCCGAAGAAGAAGGATTGCTTCCCCAGAAATAGGAGGGCGTCAAAAAACACTAGATGGCAAAATTGCTGGGTTGCAAAGTGGCAAAGACCTCAAAATTGAGTCTGAAAAATTGAAAAGAAAGGAAGAAGATGTGAGTGATTGTTGTTTCAACGATATTAGCTCTTTTTTTCAGCTTTTTGAGTTTATGGATCCCGATGTGAGTGGTAGAAATGCTGCCACCGTTCATCGTCAAAAACAAGTTGGAAAAAGTGAGACAGTTTCTGCATAGACATAATTATCTTCGGTCTTACTAGGAAAAACTGATGCAGAAGATCAAGAGAAGAAGGAGAGAGAATCAAAAAAGCAAGAAGAACTTCAAGAAAAGTACAGTAGTTGGAACAAAGGAGTTTATCAAATAGAAGAGGTAGGTATTTTTTCCTTATGTATTGACTATACGTCTTTATCTTTCAAGAGAAAAGCCAAGCTGGAAGAGTTAGCTAGAGTTGTTCAAGAACCTTTGACACGAACTGCTGATGATGTTGCCATGAATGCTCATTTGAAACACCAGCTTTATGAAGAGGATCCTCTCCATAAACTCATAGCTAAAAACAGAAGACATAAAGCTATTGATAGAGGTGAAACAGGTATAACATCATAATATTGAGTTTCTGAGCTTCATAATTACTTTTTGTAGTTTATCCCACTTACGATAAACCTTTCCCGCCCAACAGATTCGGTATTCGTCCAGGCTATAGATGGGACGGTGTTGATAGATCTAATCAGTTTGAAGCCAAGCTATATATATCTAAGAACCAAAAGCAATCGGACAACACTTCATATATTCAGAATCTAGGATTGTATGATTAACTGTTTAACTTACATTCAAAACTGATTGACTTTGCGGGTATAACTGCTTATATTTCGTTGTTAATAATTGTTCTTTATAATCTTGCTACAGTTGATCAATGAATGAATTTTAATTTCAATTAGATTCTCTAAGAAGGTTTTACATCCTAAAGTTTGTACATACCCATTTCAACTAGAATGCAAAACTCATCAATGTTAGATGGCAGATGATACAGTGGAAAACGATCCGTTGGAAACGGATTTTCCTGTGGGTATCTATACTGTTCCTAGTTTTACCATATTGTTTCAGATCAGGAAGAGTTCGTTTCACATAACAAACAAGAGAGTAGGAAAAAAGTCATTCCTAGAAAAAGCTGTTTCACATGATGAGGTTTTCATACAATATGAAATCGACACTATTTATAAAATTTCAGTTGAACTCATATTTGGCTTTCGCCATCACAGCCTTTTCTGTCTATCTTATTTATTTATCCGTTTCTGACAGAAGCTTCACGGATCCATTTAATTCTTATGCCAATGTGTCGGAACCCATCGTTCATGATTATCCACAGCTCTTAAGTACTTCTTGCTTAACAATTTTTAGCATCATAACACTAGGAATTATTAGTGCTCATTTTGCTCAGAAATTGAATCTTCCTGGTTTATTGGGTTGGCATACTTTTTCGACATCACAATAAGGTTTTTTTTAGGAATGTTAGTAGTAGGAATCGCATTACGGAATCTGTTCGACGATGTTTTCTTCGTCTTACCATTGTGGAGTAATTCTTTCCTGTCTCTCATAAATCTAACTTGTCTTGCATTAGGTGTTACACTTCGGCGCGCAGCATTTGTAGTTATTCTGCTCCGTGGAGGGTTATCACTCGATGCTGATGCTTTGAATAAGCTTAAGGTATCTCAAACGCTTTTCTGTTTATTTACTTTCTGTTTCTGTTAAGGGAGCATGTCTCCGTTTGTGTTTCATACCTTGCTCTGTAGAAGCTGTGGTTGTGGCCGCAACATCCTGGCTGCTGCTTAATATGGATGTTCTATACGGTCTGCTATTGGGGTAATTTTTGTATGCTTTGATCATTTCTACGCCTTTTTCAGGTTCGTTCTTGCTGCAGTCTCTCCTGCTGTTATTGTTCCCGCCATGGTAGATGCACAAAATCACTGTAATATATTATATATATATAAACAGCTTCATTCGATCTGTTTTTTAGGTTATGGAACAGATTCAGGTGTACCAACTCTAATTGTGGCTTCAGCCAGTCTGGATGATGTGTACGCTATCACCATGTTTAGTATTCTACTATCCATTGTGTTTTCAACAGGTATGCTGCTTCTTGCTACTTTTTGCTGAACTTTCCACATCAGGAGATTCTGTCTCTCTTACTCTTCTGAAAGCGCCCGTTGAAGTTTTGAGTGGAATATTCTTTGGAGCAATTTGTGGTAAGTTCCATATGGATATATGAAACATTCCGTGCTATTGAGGCTTTGTTCTTCGTTATGTGCCGGGACCAACTCAGAAGAACAAAAGTTTAATTAGATTCTGTATGCTGTTCACGATGTCTCTAGCTTGGCTTCTGATTACAATATCCTTGAGAGTAGATTCGATCGGAGCTATAGCTGGTGTGTCATCTCTTTGCTTTTTTCTTGATGTTATGTTTTAGTGCTTGTAACAGCCTTCGTTGCTGGTATTCATTGGAAAAAGGAAGGGTCACTCCCGACTGAAGGGCAATTGTCTGTGGCGTGGAAACTTTTTTTCGAACCGTGCTTATTTGGTTTGATTGGTTTTGAGCTTTCTCTCGATATTGTTGGTTTAAACAAAAATCAATTTTCTAATTTTTTTTAAAGGTAAGCTGGTCTGTCATTGGATGGGGATCTGTCGTGTTGGCTTCGGGCTTGATATTGCGGACCATATCTGCATTCTTGGTTGTATTCGGTGCTGGCTTCAACATTAAGGAACAGTTGTTCATTGCTATTTCGTGGATTCCGAAAGCCACAGTTCAGGCATGTTTAGCCTTTGTGTAACAGAAAGTTATCAGAACCACGTTTCAGGCTGCCCTCGCACCTTTGGCTTTGGATATTGCTAGATCTCGAACAGATTTACCAGCTGTTTACACAGACAACGGAGTTATCATATTTACGATTGCTGTTTTAAGCATTCTGACAACAGCTCCTTTAGGAGCATTTATAATAAGATTGTGTACCCCAATACTTTTGAAGAAAGTTTATCCAAAAGTTAGCATAGAGCTGAATCATTGAAGTATTCCGTTGTTACACAAATTGTATTTACTTTATGTGCCAAGCTTTCCAGTACTGGGCTCAGTCTATTCCATGACATTCTCCTTGAAGCTTTAGCATGCATTTCTAGTCAAACCACTAATAAATTATTGTTTTTGCTTTATTGATTTCTTGTTACTCGCTTCTTCGATTCATTTTCTTTTATTTAAACACGCTGTTAATTTTTCAAAATTTATTTTTATTTCTTCATTTTTGTGTTTTTCAGTAATGTTCAAACTAACTTGTCGTTCTCAAAACTATGCTTGGGGAAAACTAGCTGCAGATAGTGAGGTGGCGAAAATCACCAGAAATGGTAATCATTCTGATGTGGATGATAGCAAACCTTATGCCGAGGTTGTTTTTTACTCAGTTTTATGAAATAGTATCAAAACCTCTATAGCTTTGGATGGGAGTTCATCCGAACGGCCCATCTATGGTGCAAGGAACGGATTCATTACTCTCCGATCTGATTGCGAAAAATAGTGAAATGGTAGGAGAGCATGAACAAGGTAATCAGTTTCGAGGTAGAATGAATGAACTGTCTTCTTATAGGTACCTTACAATTCCTCTTCAAAGTTCTATCTGTTCGCACAGCTTTGTCTGTACAAACGCATCCAACAAAAGTTGTTCATATTCTCATATTTTCTTAATACACATTTCAGGAACAAGCCGCAAAACTGCACGCTTCTGATCCTAAGAACTATCCAGATGCAAATCACAAACCTGAAATGGCGATCGCTCTTACTGAGTTCCAACTTCTCTGTGGTTTCAGACCAGCAAATGAAATTGAGGAAAATTTGAAAGGTAAGCATTGAAACGAAATAGAGCATTGTAGAATTATCCTATAGATACCCCTGAAATTTTGTCTCTTCTGGGTGAAAAGTCATCTTTGCTAGAATCATTCTCCTTGAATCCACAGCATGAACAAGAATCTGCTCTGAAGGAAATTTTCACGAAAATTTGGTCATCCGACCCTTCCGAAATTTCGGAAGCCGTTGCCAAACTGGTTGAACGAGTGAAAGCTAAAGGTGAAGCTTCTTCTTCTTATCGAGAAATGTCATATTTTGAATCTAGAAAACAAAACTTCTATCGATAACTTGATTATCCGTTTGGATGAAGAATTTCCTGGAGGTAAGAGAAGTTTTCTGAATTGTTTTTAGATTAAAGTATTTCATTATAGGCGATGTCGGTGTTTTTACTCCATATCTGTTGAATTACTTCACCTTAGCCCCAGGTCAAGCCACTTTTCTTGGACCGAATAGACCACACGCTTATCTTCTGGGAGGTTTGCTGATCTGAAATGTTCTTGAAGAAGAGTGAATAATTAAGACTGCATCGAATGTATGGCTTGTTCTGATAATACCATAAGAGCCGGCCTAACTCCCAAGTTCAAAGTAGGCTCTCGTTCTTTATTTTGATTAATTTCAGTTTAGGATATAAAAACTCTCTGTGAAAACACAGAATATAAGATGGGTCCCCCACCCTACTTTTTCGATTGCACTTTCCCTTCAGAAGGAGGGCGCCTGTACAACCCTCCTGTGCCGGAGTTTGCAGTAGAAGAATTATCAGTAATTTGCATATCGCTACAATGTCTTATGGATACTTATAGAGCTCTAGAAAAATGTTCTGTCCAGATGGTTCCAGCTCCATAACCATTATCGTGAATGGAAGTGGTAGATTCAAAAGTGATGGACATGAAATCGCTATCCAAGAGGGAGATGTGGTTTTCATTTCTGCCAAACTTAGCCAAGTTGAAATAACAGATTCTTCGCCAGATTTTCTTGCTTTCCGAGCTTTTACTCCTCTTTAAACGCATAATTGCTTTACTTTTCTTGTCATATTCTAGCCTATTAGTTCTAGTCTTCCTTCTGCTTATTAAACAATGCGGAAAATAAATAAGCTTTTACAGACATTTTTTCGTGGCTCCAGAAGTATAAGAAAATGTTGTAATCTTGATTTGCAAATGTAAATGAACATTAGAATAATGAATTAGAATGTTGGTTTGTTGATATAGCTTTCTCTTATGTTGTCAATGCTTTAATGATTCGGAATGATTATCTATGAGAAGGATAGAAGAAGTATGTTGGATAGCTGACGAGTCGAACTCGACAGGCAACAGCGTAATATTTCACTCGAATGGAATGGATCGTGTAGGTGAAAGAGAATGAGGTTGAAACCGCACCAGAATGGAAAGAAAGTCAGTTTGTCACACAAGCTGTAAAATTTAATGTTCTTAAAACATAAATATTTTTGTGCTGGCTTGAGGACATTCATCAGAGTTTGGATAAGTCAACTGGGACATTTGACCGTTTTATTAGCCGCAGAGCAGCGCCCTACGTTTTGGAAAATATCTTCACCGCTTATGGACTCCGAACTGTGTCATCATTCTCGTAGAATACGTTTAGTGTAAGCTTCAGCTCATAAAATGATTAAGAGAATAACACAGTATGATGACCACTGGTCAATCTTTCCAACGTACTTTGTGTAAAAACAACGGGAAGAAGCCAAATTTTGAAGTGCCAGTCAGAGAAACACAGGGATAATATGAAAGAGAGATTGAGGCGCACTGGTTAATCTATGGGAGTTTTATTAAAATTCTCATTAGAAGCCTTTGAAGTATATGATACAACCTTTTTTACAATGTTTTTTTTCCATATAAAAGGGTTTTTGCTCGGAGTTTTTTTTCGTTGCCGGTTGAAAGATTGGTTGAGTTTTTGCAACTTCATTAGGGAACGGCAAAAGATTCTTAAGCATGCCATATTTTGGTTGGTAACAGCCAGTCCTTCACATTTCCAATCATCGAAGATCTACGAGTTTTATATTTTCATTTTGTGAACACCTCATGGGAATCAAAACAGTGAAAATAGCATGGGTCAGTTTGCTATTATAATTCTTTTGGAAAAGCGAGCCAATTGGTTACATAGTAGGCTTACGATTAGTTTGTAAACCTCTTTTGTTGGAGCCTCAACTGTTCTCTTGTTCATACTCGAAATCCGTTTCCTCATTCCGCAAAAAATGGTTCGAACGGAGAAATCAAATTGATGGCGTATGAGAGCTCAACAAAACATCAACCGTTCTTCGCGCGTGCAAGTTCTAAAATGAAATCTGAAAACATGATGCACCCACGCTACGAACTAATTTGCATACATCGACTTATGTAACTCCCTCCTTGACAAAAAAGATAATTAATTGTATTCGTTCTATAACAGTGAAGCTTGTCGAGATTCCGTATACCATCCTTCAATATTCCTGCAACACTTTCTCATAAACGAATTGACATTGTTCTTGCTCACTGGTCTGTGTGCTATTTGCCCCCTGCCTGCATCAGGGGGTGGGGGAGAGGTGAGGGTCTGAGCTCTCGATGTCCATCCGGGCGCCGCGTGGCGACAGTTGTGCTTCTTCGAAGGCCTCTCCGTTCACCCGGCTGCCAGCTTTTGCCCAGTCCCATCACTCTATTATCAATTATGCTCTCTCCCTTCCACATCATACACTTCTTCGACTTTTCCTAACGCTTTGCTTCACTAGATAGAGTCTCGGTGTGCTTTTTATTGTATTCTGTCCTTATTTGGAATTTAAGCTATGAACTGCATGAATAACATAGGAAAAAAATTAGTTTTGTCTTTCAAATGTAATTTTTATTTGTTCGTTCTTTTTTCACATTTTCTTTCTCTGCAGCCATGACTTTTGTGCGGTTTTTACCATTCTTGCTCTATAATGTGCTTTTCAAACTGATTGAAGTGACACAATACTGACTGAGACTCTAACTTCTGTAAGAAGAACGTGAGTGTTAACTTTCGAAATGCGACCTACACGTTTGCATCCGAGGTGATAACGCCTGGGGGGGTCATTGACGTCTCAGGTTACCAAAAGCTTCATTTGACACCTATTTCAAGTATTCATTCAAACACTCCTACAAATGGCAAAATGATAATATGAGATCAAACAAACTCTTATGCATGTAAATAACTATTCATTGTTTCTATGGAAGCGATTGTTCGGTAGCGTATAAGCTTGGTGCAAGAAAGAGAATAAATGATTTTCATATTGGGGGAATTTGAGTTGATTGGTCATCAAATCAACTTCAAAGTACTTATGAACGCAATTCTTTTCAATGGTTTCTTTTGTTTTCCGAAAGAAGAGATGAGCCACGTGCTGAATCATCAGCAGATTTTTTTAAAAGTTTCCATTTAGTTATAAGCTTCTAAATTCATTTTTAAAAAGTATGATGTGTACCAAAAAGGGGTCAATGTCTCATTTTACTGTTTTGTGAATGTTTTTCTCGAAAAAACGAACGATGAGCCCACAATTGAAATGCTTGTCTGAAATTTTGTTAATGGACGAACGAAAAAACCTTCGAGAAGATAGAAATAAAAAAAATTAATTTGATGAATTAGCGGACTTGAAATCAACCTGTTTCACATTAAACGATTCAATTCAGAGTTTAGCTTCTGCATTCATTTCGAAAAATTAAATTAATTGAGGAACTGAAACGAATAGAACTTAGGTAAGCCAATGTCAACAAGAACTATGAAAGAACATATCAAACTCTCATTGTCTTGTAAGCTTTATCTGAAATAAAAACTTTGAAATTCTCTCTTTCTCTCTCTCTCTCTCCCTCTCTCTCTCTCTGTCTCTTTCGTTATACTCTTCTTACTGCTTTCACTGACTCTAGGCCATGCCATAGCACATCTCAGTGTTCTTTTTCTCTCATAGATGAACGTAAGATCAGTCAAATCGTGATTGAATCCACCTTCAATATTCTACGATTTACTGGCTCAAAAATATTTTGAAAAATCAATTTTCTGCAAATATCTCTTCACATTTTCCAGAAATTGTTTGACATAAACACGTCAAATATGACAATTTATTAATCAATTTTTCGACAAATTACACAAAAAATGTGTGAAATGTTCATCAATTTCCATGGGTTATGCCTTTAATTGAAAGCAAATAGTATGTTATACTCTGACAAAGGTTTTCGACTTTCTAATTGTTCGAACTTTACATCAAAATATTCACTTTGCCATGTTTGGATCTCTTCTTCTTGTTACCTCCTCAACGATTAAGCCTAAAATTTGCCATTTAAAGCATTAGTTAGACTAATTTGCATATCTATGTTTCAGCCTCTTTATGTGTCTCACCTCCCCTCCTCCCCCCCCCTCGCTTCGTTTGTATTGAATTGAATGTCATTCCTTATCAAGCATGTAAACATTCCGTTCAAATTTTTGCCAACAACTTCCCATATCTTTCATTTCATCATTTCACACGCAAAATTTTAAATTTTCTTCCTATTGAGCCATTCCCTAAATTTCTCATTGTCTCTCTCTCTCTCTTTATCCCTCTCAATCTCTCTCTTTTTCTCTAATATTCTTATTTATACATTCCAATTTCTTGCTTTTCAAGAAAAAATGCAACCGCTCTTTATTCATTTAAGACTAACAATGAAAGCTCTACGTGAACGTCTCACGTATATTCTTCTGCGTTCTTTGCCTTTTGATCTGCACCGATTTGGTAAATAGTTCTTTATTTCCAGCATAAAAAAAAAAAGATTTTTTTTTCATATATTCAAATTAGAGTATCTCTCTATTGATTTCTCTTATTAGCTGTGATGGTTAGACTGAGAGAGGCAGACAAGGAAAGGAAGAGGAAGAATTGCATTTTGATGGAAGATTCTTCCGTTTTCACAAAGTTTTATGTTTTGCCAAAAAATTTAATAAACCTCCTCCTCTCTCTCACGGGATGTTTTCTTTGTTTTCTCCATTTAAGCTTTGATTAAAACATCTAATTGACTCAATTTCCCCATTTTTCTCTTGAATTACTGAATGAATAGCTTATAATAGAGAAAAGGATAGAGGGAGAGAGAGAGAGAGAGAGAGAGTAGGGATAAGCCTACAATGGTTGTTACGGGCATTATCATGATGGCAAAGTTGCCACAGTTTTGTTTTCTCATTCTAGTTATGACTTTCGCTCTAATAACTTATTACTTCTCGAACGTATTCAAACATAATTTTGTTAAAGTTTTCTTTCGTCTTTCTTTTTTTTCCATTTTTTCGTCATTCCGGGTAAGGAAGACAGCAACAAAGAAAAGAATAAGTCTTTCACCCGAGCTTCTGTGTTGTTTTGTGTACTTCTGTCTATCTTACATTGGATATTGACCGTTATGAGCTTTTGTTAGAGAAGAAAGTAGATGAGAACAGCTGTAGCAGCGTGTCCATGACGTTGTTTCCAACATTTTGACGTCAAAAGTTGATCATTTGGCATCTAATGTCTCATATAAATAGATGATTGTTTTTGAAAATGTTTTTTTTGTTTCAACGAAACCACGTTCAATCTAATGTTCATCCAAGTACATCATGTCACTCGATCCATACATTTGTATAGCCTTTCATTTACTTCCTTCATTATGTTTTCATGAATTTGTATTTCTTATACCGACTGCTTTCTGCCTTATATTCTCTTCTTAACTATTACATTATGACAAACATGGTCATTTCTTATCACAAGTGTGCTCTTAATCATTGTTTTCTCTTAGAGACTACATTTTCTAAGCTCAAAATTCTTTTAAATGTTCAGTCATTCAAGATATTTTCTCTGTGTTCTCGCCTTGTTCCTCTAATCAACCTATGATTTCGTATTATATGGGCTTGTGGATCTCCTATTTCATTCAGAGATGGCTTTCTTTCATTTCTTCATGTTATTCATTTTATCCCAACATAGATGATTATTACTTTGCAAGCTTTATCTTTTCTCAACTCCGACTCTACGACCTTCATCTATTTTATGTTCTTTTAATTATTTTTTATCTCTTTG